GACTCATGCCTGTAATACTAGCTACCCTAATCCTAAGCAGATGGGGCAGAGAAGTCTGTGAGACTTGTCCAATTAGTTAGAAAAAGTTGGAAGTGAATTTTGGCTCAAGTGGTAGAGCACCAGCCTTGAACAAAAAATAAATAAGGGACAGTGCCCAAACCCTGAGTTCAACCCCAGTGCTGGCACAAAAGAGAAAGGGAGGTGGAGGGAAGGAGGGAAAAAGGAAGAGGGGGGGATGAAGAGAGAGAGAGAGAGAGAGAATGAAATATTAACTAAAGTTAAAATTCTTAAAAGTTGCTGGGTGTCGGTGGCTCATGCCTGTAATCCTAGCTACTCAGGAGGCTGAGATCTGAGGATCACGGTTCAAAGCCAGCCCAGGAAGAAAAATCTGTGAGACTATTTCCAATAAACCATTAGAAAATCAGAAATGGTGCTGTGGCTCAAGCGGTAGAGTGCTTGTCTTGAGCTGAAGAGCTGAGGGACAGTGCCCAAGCCCAGAGTTCAAGCCTCAGGACGGACCAAAAAAAAGAAAAAAAATTCTGAAAAGATATTACTGTGTTGAGATGATGGAATGTTTGAGATGCTAGATCTAAATCAATAGGAAGTAGATTTTGATATTGTGAATAGATAGCTGGGGGTGTCATTTAGTTCTGTTTAGATGAAAATTAAAAGTAGGTAGGTAGGGGTCTTCCGTGTTGGTAGCCCTGAGCTTCTGAGTGTTAGATGTTTATGGGTCAGGCTTTCATACCTCAAAGTTAGACCTGTAGGACCTGAAAAGATTCTTACAGCCCTAATCATTCAAAGCTAGCACTGTTCTAGGTGCTCATTTCAGAGCAATTCTGGGCTTTCACCACAGAAGTTCTCACCCAGCGTCTAGTGTTCTAGTGCCTGAACTTTGGGTGTTGGGATTTGTGTGCGTCTTAACCTTTGGCAGCTCTCTAGAACTATTTCAGCAGCTGGAGTTCTTTGTCTTGTCTCTTGCCTCTTTCCTTCCGTAGTCTTAGCTCTCTGCAGCCTCTTGTCTTCTTAGTACTTCTGCAGTCCTTTGGAGTCTTGTATGTACCTGGTCAGTTTCTGGAAGTCTATGTTTTCTAGCTGCTGAGGTCTTTCAACCCTGGGATCCTTGTAGATTTAATATCTCAGAAGTCATTCTCCAGCTGCATTATAGCTGCTATTGCTGCTGTGCTGCTTCTGGAAGACTGGAGTTAGAAAGTTCTTAAGAGTTCTTAGAGTTCCCTGCTTAGGATCACAAGTGAACAATCAAAGATTGTGAGAAATCTTTTTTGGACCTAATGTTACAAAAAGGGCTGGGGTTGGGGGTTGTACTAGAGAAGACTCCCAGATTAACCTGACTAAAATGGGAAATAGCCTGCTTATATAGCTAGGAAAGATGTGTGGCATGTGTGTAATTCCACCAAGTACAGCTTTACATATGTACAGCTCCTATTTTTGTTAATCACAAGACCTAAATATTCACCACTCATTGGCCTTACTTATGATCCACTTATAACCTCATATCTACCAATCTCAGACATCCTGTTGAGTCAATTCCAGTAAGAATGACATGGAGTTAGTAGAAAAGCTGGTAGGGAATTGTGGCTTATTCAGCTTGCAAATGTCAGGATAAGCTGATAAACCAAAACTTGCCTGACAATGAAATGGGGGAAAGGGGCTACAAAAGAATTCAGAAGCTGGGCGCCGGTGGCTCACGCCTGTAATCTTAGCTACTCAAGAGGCTGACATCTGAGGATTGGGGTTCAAAGCCAGCCTGGGCAGGAAAGGCCGTGAGACTCTTATCTCCAATAAACCACTCAGAAAAATGGAATTGGTGCTGTGGCTCAAATGGTAGAGCGCTAGCCTTGAGCTGAAGAGCTGAGGAACAGCGCCCAGGCCCAGGGTTCAAGCCCTATGACTAACCAAAAAAAAAAAAAAGAATTCAGAAGTAACCAGGGGCCTGTGGCTCATGCCTATAAATACTAGCTATTTAGGAGGCTGAGATCTGAGGATCGTGGTTCAAAGCCAGCCCAGGCAGGTAAGTCCGTGACACTCTTTATCTCCAATAAACCACTTAGAAAAATGGAAGTGGCACTGTGGCTCAAGTGGTAGAGCACTCGCCTTGAGCTGAAGAGCTGAGGGACAACACCCAGGCCCAGAGTTCAAGCCCCATGACCAACAACAACAAAAAGAATTCAGATATAAAAAGGGCAAAAAAGTGAGGAATAAGGATAAGACCTTAAATCTTTTGTATCACAATCGTACAGGAAACAAAGGTGACCCACCAGTCAGAAAGCCATCTAATTATCACTAACCCAAGGTCAAGCTCTATAACCAAGAAGACCGAAGAGGAGCCAAGATGGTGGAGAGGCACTAAACTTCTTTTTGTGGCATGCCTATGCCTTGTGTTCTCTTTCTTTGTTCTGTTTCTCTTCTAATAAACATTCTCTCGTCTATTTTCTATGTTCACATCTTGCCTGAATTCTTCTCTTGTAATACACAACAACCAAGGTTGTTTAACTACTTTAAACTTTCTTTTAAAATAAGTATTTGGTGCATTTGCTTGGGCAGTTAGGGACTAAGTGTAAGTCTTTTTCTAAAATGAACTCTATCAAATGGTTACCAGAATAACTACAGTCTTCTAAAGTTGAACAAGACACTGGAATGTTTAAAAGCCAGTACAGGTTACCTGAAGCAGTCATGTCTAGGACAAGTCCTAAAACCAGTTTGGTATCAGCAGCAACCTTGGTTAACAGTAGTTCTTGCAGCTGGAGTGGAGTTCCATCAAAGCTCTGGTGGAATTTCAAATAGCCAGCTGCCTGCGGGCATTCTTAAGGGATGCCAAAGAAGAGGCTGTTTTGGCTGACTGCTTGGCTGACTGCTCAAGGCAGCCAGGGAAAGTCTGTCAGCTGTCATTCAAGAAATATGAGTTCCCAACAGTTTTGTTATTTATGCTCACTCACTTAAACTAAAAAATAAAGGAGGCTTAAAAAGTCAACATTTTCAACAGTATTTAGAAGTACATAGGAATGATCCCTCTATAATCTGTGTCATTGGGAGCTCTTAAATTATTTCTTTGATAACCTATGTCCACTTTTTTTTTTTTGTCAGTCGTGGGGCTTGAAGTCTAGGTCTGGGCACTGTCCCTCAGCTCTTCAGCTCAAGGCGAGCGCTCTACCACTTGAGCCACAGTGCTATTTCAGATTTTCTGATGGTTAATTGAGGTAAGAGTCTTACATTGTTTCCTGGCTTTGAACCTTAATCCTTAAATCTCAGTCTCCTGAGTAGCTAGGATAACAGGCTTGAGCCACTTGCACCCAGCCTATGTCCACTTTTTTTCCTCTTTCTGTAAATTTTAATTGGGATAATGTTGTATCTTTAAAATTGATTTTTTAATAATCTTGTTTTCCCTAATTTATAATGGTTCTCTGGGGATATTTTCTTTTTGTTTTGTTTTGTTTTTGCCTCCGGTCATGGGGCCTGAACTTGGGGCCTGAACTCTGGGCCTGGGCGCTGTCCCTCAGCTCTTCAGCTCAAGGCTAGCACTTTACCACTTGAGCCACAGTGCCACTTCCGGCTTTTTTCTTTTTGCTTATGGGGTGCTGAGGAATCGAACCCAGGGCCTCAGGCATGCAAGGCAAGCACTCTACCACTGAGCCACCTTCCCAGACCCTGGGGATATTTTCTTAACTTTGCCTTTTGGTAATCATATTTTTGATCTTGATTTTCTTTTCTGAATTTTGCTTTTTATATATAACATTTATTCTTGTCTCACACCAGTTTATTTTCTTTTTTTTTCCAGTGTATTTTCTTATTTTGCCTTATGTTATCCTTTCCTTGGGATTTAAAAAATATTTTATTAAATTTTAATTTTTTAGATTGGAGGTTTTGCTAACATTCTTGGTGCTTATTGGTTGTCCATCTATATTTAAGTGCTGGTGGCTCACGCCTGTAATCCTAGCTACTCAGAAGGCTGAGATCTGAGGATCATGGTTTAAAGCCAGCCCCGGCAGGAAAGTCCGGCAAGAAAGTCCGTGGAACTCTTATCTCCAATAAAGCACTAGAAAACCGGAAGTGGCGCTGTGGCTCAAGTGGTAGCATGCTGGCCTTGAGCTGAAGAGCTGAGGGACAGTGCCTAAGCCCAGAGTTCAAGCCCCATGACCCACCAAAAAACAAAAAAAAAAGAGTGAGGCATTAACATACTTTTTAAGACTTCTGTCCTTGGTCAGAATGTCTAAGAGTGGTATTTATGCATTTTTTCTATCAGTTTCTTTAGGTAAGAAATGTCTAATTTGTCTTCGATGGGCTAGGCCTTACTCACATCTAGTATTTTGTTTTAGCAAATCACTCCTGCTTTGTTTTGTATCTAATATTCCTGAATCTAGTTCAGTAATTCTAGTTTGGGAGTTGGAAACATGGCTCAGTTGGTAGAATGCTAGCCAGTGAGCAACATATCAAGTACCCAGTTTGAATCCCAGTCTCACAGCAAGAGCAACAATGGAAGGAAGGAAAGAAGTCTAGTTTCCCACCTGTTGCTTCTTAGTCTGTCTTTTGTTAAAAGGAAAAAATAATTGGATATAATCCTTTTTTTGTAGAGATAATCATATTCTAGGGGTATGACTGAAACATAATTGAATTTGATTGTTCTCAAGTTTTCTGTCCACCATAAATAGCTACTGTTATTCATTATTTTATAGTTTATGTCTTTTTTTTTTTTTTTTGATCTGGTCATGGGGTCTGAACTCTGGGCCTGGGCGCTGTCCCTCAGCTCTTCAGCTCAAGGCTAATGCCCTACCACATGAGCCACAGTGCCACTTCTGGCTTTTTTGTCTTTTTTGCTTATGTGGTGCTGAGGAATCGAACCCAGGGCCTCATGCATGCAAGGCAAGCACTCTCCCACTGAGCCACCTTCCCAGCCCAGTTTATGTCTTTTTTTTCTTTTAGTTTATATCTTTACTAGTTTGTATCTTTCAGATGAAGTAATAATTTTTTCCTGTTAAAAGCATGTACAAATTACTGGTATTAATTCAGAAATTTCATTAAGATTATTAAAGTATATGATGTTTTTAATACCATACTGTATGTTACAAAATAGTTTTTTTTCCTTAAGAATAAGATTTGTTTCCTTTTTTTGAAAATTAGACAATTCAGACATGGCAGAACTTTTTATGGAATGTGAAGAAGAAGAGCTAGAGCCATGGCAGAAGAAAATAAAAGAAGTTGAGGATGATGACGATGATGAACCAATCTTTGTTGGAGAGATAGCAAGTTCAAAACCAGCAATTTCAAGTAAGCATTTACTTCTAGTGAAGCCAAGTTTATAAAGGTTTTTTGTAAATTGTAAAGATACTGTACAGAGGGGTTACAGTTACATGTGTAAGGTAATTAGTACATTTCCTATAGAGCATTGTTACCCCTCCCTTGTTTTTCCCCTACTATCCCTTTCCTCCCCACCAAAGGTGTTATTTTTAATAAAGGACAATTTGTGAATTATCTTCAGACCATCCCTGTCTTTCAGCACTTCCTACTTAAATTTGTGAAACAGAGGTACATTAACTATAGTGTCTGTATTTGATGTTGTAGCAGTTAGTACACTTAAATCCTTCTGCCTTTCTTGCAGGAACAACCTCTGTATCATTAGCTTTCAGTTAGAGTGATTGGACTTGACATTGTTATGTTATGGCAAGGACACCAGGACTTTTTCAAATAATCTACTCAAAAGAGTGTACAAATTCCAAGGAGAAAGAATTTTATCCCATTTTTGTATTTGTTTGTTGTAAGGCAGGAGAATTTATTTAAAAACATAAAGCATATAGTTCTTAATTATGGAAGTGATTAAAGGCACAAAAATCTACTTTAAAATTTTCCAAAAGCCTAGTACTCACTCTTCTTGCCCACAAATTGGAATAACAGTTTTATTAGAGAAAGAATTAATTTGAAATTTTCATACTGTTTCCTGTGGCAGGTTGATCATCTCTCATGGAGTGCTGTATGGCCTTTAATAGGAATTTGTCGAGAGAGCATTCATATTGATGATAATGGAACATTATTATACTATCCTGGGTTTTGTGTGTTTAGTTACAATGAGAGGTATTTTATTTACTGTATGATACACAAGGCTAAGGTATAAGATACGTATCCTTACAAACAAAGCATCTTTCTGTTTTCAAATTATCGTTTCTAGTCTCTTAATATATATTTCATATAAATAATGAATTTTAAAAGAATTATCATTTTTTTATAGATATTTTGAACAGAGTTAACCCCAGCTCATATTCAAGGGGAATAAAGAATGGTGCACTCAGTCGAGGTACAGTATTATTGTACTACTTGAGTTTAAAAATGAAGTATTTTGACAAGATTCACTGTGTATATATTCAATATATTGTATAATTTTAAAATACAGGTATTTCTGCTGCATTCAAGTCTACAAGTCAACACTATACGAACCCATCAAATCCAGTTGCTGCCTCGCCAGTAAATTTTCATCCTGAATCTAGATCTTCAGATAGCTCTGTTATTGTACAGCCTTTTTCTAAACCTGTAAGTGTTTTTGAAACTACACAGTCAGCCCAGAGATACATTGGATATTATTTACCAATATAAACAAAAACTAGATAAAAATCTGAACTATCATATGTATTCATCCCATAGAAGCACAGTTGGATCAGAAAATGTGACTGTCTTTTTGATAGCTTAACTGGTACCCAAAGGAATGACTACAGGAATTAAGTCCTCAACCTAGTAGCAAGTCAGAGAATATACTTTAATTCAATAGCTACTGTATCAAGAACTATGCTATCAAAACATGAATAAAAGTATTTAATGAATGTTGCATAATGGCAAAATATTTTAAGATTTCAAACTGGGCCAGGTGTTTTAAATTGAAAAACTCATTGAGAGACCATCATAGCTTTTTATTCTAAAAGCACAGCTTCCTGGTTTAGTTTCAAAAACCTTAATGGTATTATTATTTACTGAGCTGTTAATATATATAAGGGTTTGTGCTAAATGCTATATAAAATGAATCTCATTTAATTCTTTGATATCCCTGTGAAGTTGACTTTATTACTCCTATTTTATAGTTGAGGAAATTGAGGATTATGAAGGTTAAATGATTCATTCAAGATCACATAGTTGGCAGATGATGGGTCTAGGCTAAATGATAAACTACATGACTAGCCACACTTAAATATGATGTATGAATATGTACCTTTTTTTCCTGACAGGGGCTTGAATTCAGGGCCTTGTGTTCACCTGGCTTGCTTGCTCATCCTGGCACTTTTTAGCCATGTCTTTAACCTGGCTGTTTGCTTGTTAATTGGAGATGGAGTTTCACTTTTTTGCCCAGGCTGGCTTGGAACCTTGATCCTTGAGTAGCTAGGGTGATAGGCAAGAGCCACTGGTACTTTTGTAAAAATGGAAGTATTGCTTTAGTTCAATTCTCAAAGATGATCTGCAATCCCCTTGTTCTCTAAGACTATTTCAGGGGTTTGGGAGTGAGCACTGCTATCATTACAATTAAAGACACTATAATTGTTGAGTAAGCTGCTGATGCCCTAGTGTGGATGAAGACAGGCACAAATCTATACTAATCATTTATCTATTAGTTACCTGTCATGTTCTCACAGGAAAAAAATTCCCATTATACTCTGTGAAGTATTAAAACGTATGAAACATTGATTTACATATTAAGTACCAATTGATGTTATTAATTGTATTAATTCTACCCATTGGTATGTGTCTTTTAAAATATTCTGTATGATGAAATGGGTAGTGTATATAAAGCACTTCAAGAATGATGGTTTTCTTGAGGGAAAGCACTTGTGTAATTGAAGTGAGAGCCAAACTGTCTGACTTGTGTTAATTGAACACAACTTTTACTTGAAAGGATGACTGACTAACCCATGGTGTGTTTATTTGTTTGTTTACTTATTTATTTTACTGTTACCACAGTTAATGTCACTTAAGTCACACTTATCCCAAAGTCTTAATAAGTCAAGAGTCAGATCATAGCTTAGCTGGGTCCTCTGCTTCAGGACCTTACAAAACTGCATCTAAGCTGTCAATAATATTGCATCTCCTATAAAGCTCTATAGGGAAAGTATCTGCTTCCAAGTTCACATGGCTGTTGGTGGTATTTAGTTCCTTTAAAGGTTATCAACCTAAGGGTCTCTTTAGGTACTGGTGCCTCACTTCTGTAATCCTTGTTAGTCCTAGGATCACCATTCAAAGCTAGCCCAAGCAGGAAAGTCTACATGAATCTTATCTCCAATTAACCACCAAAAGGCAGATGTGGAACTGTGACTCAAATGGTAGAGTACTAGCCTTGAGTGAAAAAAACACAAGGCCCAGGACTGGCACAAAAACAAAAACCAATTAAGATTCTCAGTATCTTGTTGGGTCTGGCTCACTGATTCCCAGCACAGCTTTGTCTTATCAAAGCTAGAAAGGAAAGTCCTTAGCAAGGTGTCATTACACTTTTAGGCAACATACCCATGTACACAAGGTCTTTTGTATATTGTGTCATCTTTGCTAGATTCTATCTCCTAGAAGCAAGACAGAGATTATACCTGTGCTCAGAGCAAGAGGATCACAGGATATGCGTATCAGGAAGTGGTGATCATAGAGGCCACTTCTTTAGAAAAGTCTGTCTGCTACATGCAGTCAACTTAGTCTTGAAGTTGGCTAATACTTCCTCAAAATGAAACACTGCACCTGCCACTTCAAGGAAAACAACAAATACTGGTATCACTGCAAATGATAAAATCTGAACTTCAATAAAGAAAAAAAAAAAATCAGAATTTTTTTTCATCTTTTCTGATCCTAGAAGCTTCCCAGTATTTCAAGACTTTTCTGATGGGTATTAATAAATATGGTTTTTTTGATACTGTAGAATGAATATTTGAAATAATCTGAAATGATTCAATGAAACCAAATTTTACAAATAGTGTTTATGCTACAAAAAATATATGAGTAAAAGATTCATTTAAAGTATAAGATGATTGTAATTGAATGAAACAGCATACAAAAAGTCCACTGATAAAGTTTCAGGTTTCATACTGAAATAAACATTTAAGAAAGTATTAACTGGTGAGTTTTGGCATAGGATCAAAGTAATATTTGTACAGTTGTTTTACAATTCTACCAATACACTTCTTGATTACGTATTATCATGATGCCAAATACTCTTCATCAACTAAAATGTATCCTTGCATATTGAAAGCATAGCAGATCATAGGCTAATCATAGCTTTTGATTAAGGTAAACAGTAAAGAAATACTCAAAAATGTAAAATAATGCCACTCTTATGTGTTTGCCAGCCATTTTTCATAATGTTATTATGTTGATCTGTAATGGGTTTATTGTTATTTAAAATAAATTAATAAATGCATATTTAAATTTTTTCTCTGTTTTAATTTCTAGTATGGTAAATATCAATAACTAACATAAAACTTTGAGTTTAATAATTTTTAAATGTATAAAAGGATCTTGAAACAAAAAAAGTTAGGATACTTAGAGAAATGGTAATAATATGAAAAGTATAGAAATCTATTGAGTTTCTACCTTGGATCCTCTAAAAAGCAGAATTTTATTTATATATTTTTTTAAAAACATACAATAAATGGTCCTGAAGTAACAGTAAAAAGCTACTCAGAATATAAAGCTTTTTTGATGAGTTGAAATCAAATTAACTTACTGGCTCTCTCATATTTGTCATAAGCTGTTGGTTGGTGTTTAGGGGGAAGAAACTACAGAGACATAACTAATGTAACTAGGTAAAAATTTTTATAACACTGGACTTGGGAGCAGAGATAACAAAACAAAGTATGGTGCTAAAAGTTAAAAAAAAAACTAGAGCCTTTTAGGACTCAGAATGTTTTATTTCTGCAGGTGTAGTTTTAAATCAAAGTACCTCAATTGGTGGTTCCTAATCCTGGGGTCCTTTAGGCAAAGAGCAGTCTTTCCCCTTTGTTTGGATGGAGTCTCAAAATTATGTATTTTTAATAAAACTTAGTGATCTACTATGCAAAGTTTCAAATGATGTATTAAGAAATGAATTGACAATTCTATTTACAAGACTTTCCCCCTAAATTTTGGAAGCCACTAGTTTTAATAAATTACAATGAATAATTTTACATTTTATATCCTGTTCTCTATGTGTATGTATGTTTTGTGTTTTTATGGATTATCTTTGTATTAACACCTCTTACAGATAGAGGTTAATGCCATTATTATCACTTATAACATCAGTATGACATAGCTAAAGGTCATGGTCTTTATAGTTACTCATAACTGATGCTCATTTTAAGTCTAGTCTTAGTTTACTGGTTCATAAAATGGGATAATGCTAAGTATTAGTACTGTTTGATAACTGTTGATACAATGCATTTACTGCGAAGAGCAAGTGCATTTAACATACATAATTGTGGCTAGTTATTTCAATTTGAAGTATGAATAACTTGAAGTAGAGAAGTGACCTGTCCAAGGTTATGTAGTTTATAAAAGTGTGTCTTCTAACTTTCTGTAAAGTACTTCTTTTACTATTATTACATATGTTATATTATTACATATGTTGTTATATTTAATTATTTAACATATTGAATATGTGCTCTTCTCAGATTTTAAAAATGCTCTATTGGAGCATTATTTTAGCAAAGTATTTGTTTTACAATGGGTTGCTTGCTTTCTAGAATTATAGTAGTTAATTAATCAGAACTGTTTTACAGGAGAGTGTTTTAGCAATATTAACTTTATTATCGTTTTATTATCGTTTGCATTTTGGAAAATGCAAGTGAATATTTTCCATTTGTAAGGTGCATATACTTAGATAAAGTATTTACCTTGAAGTTAGATTGGGTTTGATTACAGCTGAGTCATATGGTGTGACTGACTTTTTTTTTTTAATTGAGATCTTTTAGACCTTAGTATCTAGTGTGGTTTGGGTTATAACAGTAACTTGGTTCTATAACTTCTTAACAATCTCATGTCAACTGAGAAGTTGTTAACAAAACAAAATTCTTGAAACTTAATTATCCTTCAGCTTATAAACATATAACAAAACCATTTAATACATATTGTTAAAGTAAGGAAAGTTGAAAATGCAGGAGAGTACATCAATCAGGACCCTGTTTGTTATATGTAATAATATACACTTATCATCTTCACTGAGTATTCTGCTTGGAACATGTCATTGGAACATTTTCCAAAACTTGATTCATGGATGCATGAGTCTAAATTTTAACTATTTCTCTGTTGGACCCATAGATTATAGGTATTTTGCTATGATGAATAATTCTCCATAAACTTCATTTCCTTGTGAGTTCTTCAAAGTGGAATAACTGGATCAAATAAGCCTTTTAGAGACTTTGGAAGCTACTGCTGAAATTTTTAGACAGCTCATCCTAGAATATCACCTATATACTTTGCCAGGAGTGAATGTCATCATTTTATTATTTATTTATTTATTTAGATCATGGGGCCTGAACTCTGGGCTTGGGCACTGTCCCTCAGCTCTTCAGCTCAAGGCTAGCACTCTCCCACTTGAGCAACAGAGCCACGTCTAGATTTTTTTTTTGGAGGGTGGGGTCTGCTCATGGGGCCTGAACTCTAGGCCTGGGCACTGTCCCTCAGCTCTTCAGCTCAATGCTAGTGCTCTACCACTTGAGCCACAGCGTCACTTCCGGCTTTTTTCTTTTTGCTTATGTGGTGCTGAAGAATCGAACCCAGGGCCTCATGCATGCAAGGCAAGCACTCTACCACTGAGCCACCTTCCCAACCCTAGATTTTTTGAGTAGTTTATTGGAGGTAAGAGTCTCATGGGGACTTTTCTGCCCAGGCTGGCTTCGAACCACAGTCATTAGATCTCAGCTTCCTGAGTAGCTAGACTTACAGGCATGAGCCACTGGTGCCCAGCTACCATTGTTAAACTTGGTTTATTATGTATCATAGTCTAACTCACTGAGAGATTTTACTGTATACAATAGTTATTCTTTATAAATAATATTGGGAAGTATTTTGTCTATTTATACTTAATGTATAAGTATTGGAACATATATCTCCAAATTATATTGACCACACTTTTTGTAGTTATACCAAATATGTGTATTCTCACATAAGAAATAACACTGCTTTTTTTCTTTTTTTTTTTGGTTGGTCATGGGGCTTGAACTCTGGGTCTGGGTGCAGTCCCTCAGCTCTTCAGCTCAAGGCTAGTACTTTACCACTTGAGCTATAGCATCACTTCCGGTTTTTTCTGCTTATGTGGTGCTAAGGAATCTAATCCAAGGCCTCATGCATGCAAGGCAAGCATTCTACCACTGAGCCACCTTCCCAGCCTTTCACATTGCTTTATATATAATTTTTGCCCCTTTAGCCCTTCCTTTAGCTTGGGATACCTTGATTGCTGGTGAAAACATTGAGATTCCTTTTGAATCCAATCATGAGACTAGGCCACTGGCTCAGATCATTCCTATAAATAGCTACTGTTTTAAACCCTATCTGCCTGGCATTCTTAATTTTTCACCCTATTGGTCAGGTTACTATTGTATTTGTCATATGAGATGGGAGGATTTCTGGCCTAGCACATTTTCCTGTGGGCTGATTGGAAGAATAAGGAGCTCTCTTTTCTCTTTCTGACCTCATAGCTTATAAATTTCTCCAAGATGGTTCCAAAATTCATAACAGTTGGTACAGTCATCCTAAATGCTTATGTACAATAGTACAGATTGATTCCAAATTGCCCCAACATTTTGGATATGGGATTTTTAAAGGTGTAGAGGCATTTATATTTATGGCAAAGTGTTTTCTACTTTTCTCCAGAGGAGAGTACTTTTGCCCAGAGGATTTGCTGGATTCCATTATTTGCTTCATGTTAATACTGCATCTTTAGAATAGTTCAGTGTGTCAGATAAAATTGAACAAAAATTTGTTCCCCAAATTAGGTAACTAAATAGTTTTAGTTTGTTAGTTAGAAATATGCCAGTGCTATTAGCTTGCTTTTTATTTTGGTAGATGATAATTTTGGCAAGTCAGTGATTCCCCTTGTGTTTTTGGAGATTAAATCATCAGAGGTAATCTTCTGGATGCTGGTATACAATTTTTCATTTATCAAAGTTTATGAAACAAAGTAACTAACTGTTGAATAAATGCAATGTTCTTCCTTTAAAATATTTTAACAGGGCTATTTAACAAAGTCATCCCGAGTTGTATCTAGTAATTCTTCTGAGTTACTGTTTGACTTGACCCAGGATACAGAATTACCACAGTACCAAGGGATACCAACAATTTCTGTAGCAGGTTGGTTTTAGTATTTTTTTTCCTTAAAATAACAAAAACAAATTTGTTGAATATGCATATGGCATTGATTTTCTGTTTTGAGTCCTTTGCATGTGAAAGGTTTCATGGGTTATATGGTTGGGTGCTAATAGTTTTTGAATGCCTTTTTTGAGTGATTTTTTAAATAAAATCTTGGTTAAACCATATTGAACTCATTCCTCTTTGGAACAAACTTTGAAAACAACCTTAAAATAATTTGTATGAAGTAAAGAAATATTTTAAGTACTCTTTAAAATATGAGTTTCAATAGTTACTAGTGTAAAAAAGCGAATGGTTATAGTTGATTTCTTGGTTAGGTTAGTATCCTTCTCTTCCAGTCAGTAATTCCAATGCAGTAATTAAATATGATTTTTAAAGTGTTATTGCAAAGTGGCTTCAACAAAGAGTGATATGTACATAGTGGACACTCAATACCCTTTGAAGAGATAATATAATTTATCTATTGAAGAAGATTTAAAGTTTTTTTATTGTGTTCTGAAACATAGTATTTCAATAACAAGATATAAAGTAATTTTAGCTGGGTGATGCTGGCTCACGCCTGTAATCCTAGCTACTCAGGAGGCTGAGATCTGAGGATCACGGTTCAAAGCCAGCCCAGGCAGGAACATCCCTGAAACTTTTTATCTCCAATAAAACACTAGAAAACCAGAAGTGGCGCTGTGGCTCAAATGGTAGAGTGCTCGCCTTGAGCTGCAGGGACAGCGCCCAAGCCCACAGTTCAAGCTCCACGACCAAGAAAAAAGAAGTTTTGTCTTACTGAAAATTCCCTGTAATCAGGATAGTTAATTCTAGTACAGTAGCAATTCAGATGTATCTGAAAGAATTGGCTAAACAGGTGTGTGTGTGTGTGTGTGTGTGTGTGTGTGTGTGTACAATATTAAATAGGTCAATGTGGAAAGTTTACCAGGCTTCTGTCAAGTTTTTTTTTTTTTTTTAATTTTCATAGTGGCACAATAGTGCCTAATACTTTGATACTTCTCTGAGGGTCATTTATGTAACTATTTTACTACTTCCTTAATAAAGCAAGTATAATCAAAGCAAACAGGAAGAAATCTGGTTTACAAAACACGTAGATTTTATTCAGATAATGAGTCTGTATCCTTGAGACTTTGGAATTAAACACAAATAATGATTCCTACTGTTCCTCTAGGTTTTCCAACACAGGGAGTGAAGCTTTAGTTTAAACAGTAAGATAAGTTGGAAGATGGATGGTTTGAGCCTTTTGTTATTAGGTTATTTTTATTCTTTTATCGAGTCTCTTAGTGTTAAGAATGGACATACTCATTTTCCCTGAATAGTGGATTAATACTCCATACCTGGAACTATCCCATTGGAGACATAATTTTAATTCTTGCTTTTTACTTTATTAAATAAGGTTTTTTTTTAATTTGCAGATAATTTAAATAAACTGTGGAAAAATATAAGGTTTAAAGGACTTGAAACACTGATGGTTGTGATCTATGATCATTATGAAATAATGCTAGTTAGCATGATTAATAGATTGCTGTCTGTGGAGATTATGGGACTCTGGAAAAGATTCAGTCTGAGTTTGATCTTGAATGAGAGTAAGATTTTTTTTTCTGCCAGAAATAGAACTTCTTGGGCTGGGAAGGTGGCTCAGTGGTAGAGCGCTTGCCTTGCATGCATGAGGCCCTGGGTTCGATTCCTCAGCACCACATAAGCAGAAAAAAAAAAGCCAGAAGTGGCGCTGTGGCTCAAGTGGTAGAGTGCTAGCCTTGAGCTGAAGAGCTGAGAGACAGCGCTCAGGCCCAGAGTTCAGGCCCCACGACCGGACTCCTCCCCCCCCCCAAAAAAAAAAGAAATAGAACTGCTTGAAGTAGAACAGTACAAGCTCAATAGAACAGAGATGTTAAAGGGTTAGAATTTAAAACAGAATTTAATGTTGAGATTTTTTAATGTTGTTTTATATCAAACTGATTTTTTTTAACCATTCAGCTTGTTATATTCAGTTGCTTAATTAAAAGTACCATTGGATTTTCAACTAACTTAAGCATCTCACCAGAATACTTAGGTGATTCAGAGAATTTTTTCCATGTACTTGTGGTATATCTGTCTGAAATCGAGTACATTGAAAATGGGGGGAAATTATTTTTATGTTTTTTCAAAAGATAACCCATTACTAGTGTGATGTTCTTATTTTTCTGTATATTTGTTCTTAGATTGGAATGATCTTTCCCTTTAAACGAAGATGTAAAAATCAGTGTAAAAATGGTAGTGCTTTCTATATTCCAGATATTTTCTTGGTGTGCTTAAATATATTATCTTGTTTGTCTTTAAGACAGCTCTAGAAAATAAAATCTTATAATTTACTGTATAAGGGAAACTGAGGCCCAGGAGAATTAAATAAACTAAGAATACCTAACTAGAGTGACAGAAGCTGGATTTGATTTTATGTTGTCTGGCCTAAAAGCCTAGAATGTTTCAAATATTCACTATTTCTACTTTTATTATATGGTTGAAATTATTAAAAATATAATGTGTAGACCAGGTGCCAGTGGCTCATGCCTGTAATCATACCTTTTCAGGAGGCTGAGATCTAAAGATCGAGATTCAAAGCCAGAGCAGGTAGAAATGTCCATTAATTAATTAATTAATTGGAAACTCCAATTAACCACCAAAAAAAAAGGGAAGTGTAGTTGTGGCTCAAGTGGTAGAGTACTAGCATTGAGTATAAAAGCTCAGGGACAGCTCCCAGGCCCTGAGTGCAAGCTCCAGGACCAGCACAAGAAAAATAATGTAAAATGCTGTTTTGTAATGCGCAAAGTACATTATGTGATATTTAAAAAATAATAACTTTGCCTGGCCTGGTTGTTGCCTAAATACCCCCCTTCAGCTAATGCTTTAAGTAAGGCTAAAATCCTTTAGCCTTAAGGTAATGGTTTTTAAATGGAAAAGCATTTTTAGGAAAGAAATTTCTATTCAAACACAAATATATGTCAAAGTCTAAAATAAAATGGAAAATTTTCCCTGTTAAACATACCCAATATGTTTCATAAAATCAACCTCTAAACTGTGAGGAACATATATAAAAACCCCTATACACTATTTCTAATATTTGTCTTTCTTACGAATGAGCAGAATGTTATTCAAGGTAAGTTGTTTCCTTTTGGTACAAAGCAACAAGCATGTAATACTCTGCAAAGCTATCTGAGTAGACTACTCTTCAATTTGTTAGGTAAGAAAAGGACTAACAATATATGAGCAATTGAATAAAAAAGTATTTTAAGGGTCCCTAACTTCTTGAAACAAAGATTATATTGCCATTTTATTTTTTACTGCTTTGCATATTGAAGCACTGAGTATCTAAAGATAAATAATTTGTAGGAATTTTATTCAGATACACATTTAAAGTTTTTGTTCCTTGGCTTATATTGAGCTGTCTGTTTTTAGATTTTTTTTTGTGAACCATGGGCCTGAACACTGGGCCTGGGTGCTGTCCCTCAGCTCTACAGCTTAAGGCTGGCACTCTACCACTTGAGCCACAGCGCCACTTCCAGCTTTTTCTGCTTATGTGGTGCTGAGGAATCAAACCCAGGGCCTCATGCATGCAAGGCAAGTACTCTACCACTGGGCCACCTTCCCAGCCACTGTTTTTAGATTTTTATTTGAAACATTTAGAACATTCTTGCATAGAATGATTGTTTTGCAGATATCAGTATTTGAATCCATGTAGCCTATACTAAATGTTTGTGTTGTTTATACTATATGAGTATATATCATTGAATTTTTATTATTGTTATTTCTGTGATTTAACTCATTTATATTCTGTATAATTTAGGTCAGACTATTTTACTGAGTTATAATCAGTTTCATCAAGTATCTTAAAATATTCCCACTGCACTATTTAAATCATTCCAGGTATGAATGAAAATTTGTTTTTATCAAAACGTCCTTCTGCTTCTGAAGTGAACAGTGTAAATCCAAAAAAACCCAAGCCTGGTGAAAGTGTTTCTGTAACAGATTCCTCAGCTGTATTCCCTGTAGCTAAATCTCCTTCACTGATGTCTCCCCAAGCTATGTCATCAAAAGGTAACTATGGATTCTAGCATAGACAAAAGGAATTGCTATAAAATTGTACATCAGTTTGGGAAATTGTAAATATGAAGTTTTCTTAAAGCTTGATTTTTTTTTCTTTCTTTTTTTTTTTTTAGAGGAGTGTTGGTACTGGGGTTTGAAGTCAAGGCTTCTCACTTGCTAGGCAGGTACTCTACCACAGAACCAAATCTGTATCCCTTTTTTATTTTCTTTTTGTTGTCACTGAGGGTATAACTTCAGGCCCTCATACTTGATGGGTGGTTGGCATGATACCACTTAGCTATGCCATGTTTTTTACTGATTATTGTTAGGATAGGGTCTTGCTTCTACAGCTCAGACACACACTTGAGCCTCATTCTGCCTACATTTAATCTTCCTGACCACCACCTAAGATCACAGGTATGAGATACTGTATCCAGAGTCTCCAATAGGTAGGTAGATTTTGCTGAACTTTTCTGCCTAGGAATGATCCTCCCAATGTCAGCCTTCCTTACAGATTGAGATGACAGATGTGTGCCATAGCACCCATCTATGAGTTGGGAATAGATTTCTCAAATTTCTGTCTGGGCTGGCGTAAACCATGATACGTCCATTCTCAGCCTTCCAAGTAGCTAGGATTACAGATGTGAGATACTGGTGCCTGGCTGTACTGGTTATTTTGAGAAGTTTTCCGTTTCTGCCCAGGTTCATGCCTAGACTGTATTCTATTTCACATTTCCTTTTGGGGCTGCAATAACAGGTATATGCCACTGTGCTCTTGAGATGCAGTGAACTTTTTTGCCTGGACTGGCCTGAAATGTTGATCACCTAATTTCAGCATCCCACATAGCTGGACTTGTGTGGTAGTACATATCACCCTACCTGCCTGTTGGTTGGGAACTTTGTTTTGGTTAGCCTTGAACCTTGATCCTCCTGAGGAAGGTAATATGTTTTGCTTTTTATTTTTTTTTTATTTTTTTGTCCGTTGTGGGGCTTGAACTCTGGACCTGGGTGCTGTCCCTCAGCTCTTCAGCTCAAGGCTAGCGCTTTACCACTTGAGCCACTAGGTAATATGTTTTGAATCATAAGTATTCTGAATTTATTTTAGGTGAAAATACTTCATCAAATCAATCTAAAGATGGAACACCTTTTCCACGAGCTTGTCCAAAGTGCAATATTCATTTCAATCTTCTGGATCCTATGAAAAATCACATGCAGGTAAACCTTTTAAAATTTTAGTTTTTTTTTTAAGTTTAAAAATCATTGAAGGGGCTGGGAAGGTGGCTCAGTGGTAGAGTGCTTACCTTGCATGCATGAGGCCCTGGGTTCCATTCCCCAGCACCACATAAGCAAAAAGAAAAAAAGCTGGAAGTGGCACTGTGGCTCAAGTGGTAGAGTGCTAGCCTTGAGCTGAAGAGCTGAGGGACAGCCCCCAGGCCCAGAGTTCAGGCCCCACAACTGGACCTCCCCCCAAAAAAATATATATACATATATATATGCTTGTTTTGATTTATGGCAAAATACTGTATTAATCATTATTTACTAAGCTATACTGTCAGTTTAGAATATTTTACAGTTATAACAATTCATCTGAGGCCATGTGTCAGACTTAAAACTAAGCTTTACATACATTATTTAATCTTTAGAAAGTTATTTGACGCAGGGCGCAGGTGGCTCACGCCTATAATCCTAGCTACTCAGGAGGCTGAAATCTGAGGATCGAGGTTCAAAGCCAGCCCGGGCAGGAGAGACCATGAGACTCCTATCTCCAATAAACCACCAGAAAACCGGAAGTGGCGCTGTAGCTCAAATGGTAGAGCGCTCGCCTTGAGCTGAAGAGCTGAGGGACAGCGCCCAGGCCCAGAGTTCAAGCCCCACGACTGAAAAAAAAAAAAAAGAAAGTTATTTGATAGTTTTTCCTATTATTAGGCAGTTAGACATAACTGGCATTCTAAACATGTACTAATTTGAAAACCCAGGTTTCTACAAACACCTGATTTTCCTTTTTAAAAAATTTATGAGCTATTTTCTACAATATTATATAGAAAATTAAATACAAGTCTGTTATTCTTTTCAAGGTATGGAATTTTATATTTGTCATCCAGACCTAGTTTATTATTTATATAATTAATAATTATATATTTCTATTTTTGTACTTTTGTGGACAATAAAGTTCAGAACTATAGGTTGTTACCATTTTTTTAGACATTTTTTTTAATTGTGAAAATACCGTACAGAGGGGTTACAATTACATGGGCAAGGTAATGAGTACATTTTTTAGCAAGCATTGTTGCCTCCTCCTTTGTTTCACCTTTCTATCCCTTCACATCTTTCCTACCCCCCACCCCTATTCCCCCCTCCCCTCGCCATTATTTCCATTTTTTAAAAAGATATGATTCTTAAATTGTGAATGACTTTTCTCTATAAAAGCTACCTCTTCAGGCCAGGTGCTGGTGGCTCACGCCTGTAATCCTAGCTACTCAGGAGGCTGAGATTTGAGGATCGCAGTTCAAAGCCAGCCCGGGCAGGAAAGACCGTGAGACTCCTATCTCCAGTAAACCACTAGAAAACCAGAAATGGTGCTGTGGCTCAAGTGGTAGAGCGCTCGCCTTGAGCTGAAGAGCTGAGGGACAGCGCCCA